GCCCCGCAGGCTCACCTCAGCCCGGTACGGCAGGAAGATGGCGCTGGCCAGGTTCCCAGTGATGCCGCTCAGCAGGTAGATGATGGAGATGCGATGCCAGCCAGCCAGCTTCTCCAGGTCCCGCAGGATGGTCATCTGGAAGCACACGGACACCAGGCAGTGCAGGACCCTGAGGTGGGGAGGGCAGGGGGTGCTCAGCCAGCAGAGTGGGCACGCTCTTCCAGCCTGGCCGCTCCACACCCACACCCACCCCGCCCAGGGTGTCACTTGCCCTGCGTGCAAGAAGAGCGACAGCCACAGGCGGTAGAACTGGTCAGGGACCTCGGGGTTGAGGAAGGGCAGGAGCCCACAAACATCATCCATGCAGTGCACCTGCACAGAAGGGCTGTCAGCACCCAGGAGGGGGGTGAGCACCTCACTCTCTGCCCCAATCCTTACCTGTGAGCAGAGGGTGGCCTCTTCATGAAAGTAACCCCTCATGAAGTCACAGTACTCCCGGGAGGTGATCTCACACCTGTCAAGACAGGGCCAGGTGGGAGGGTATCCTGTGTCAGAGAACTAAGGCCCCAGGACAAAGGGGCACACGCCAATCCTGCCTGCCTTCAGTGGCTGCAGATGGTTAAGTCTGCTTCAGTTACATGTCCCTCTTTGTGCCTGCACGCATGTGTCCACCCTGTTCTGCAAGTTTGCACACACATGCATACGCACCCATCTCCCAGGCACCTGTGAACACACACAAGCCTGTGTGCGCTCCCTCCTAGAGACACACGCACCTGCCCTTGGTGCCGATGCAACAGGGGCGGCCGGTGATGACACAGTCCATGTGGGGGTGGTTGGTGTGGTTCCCGGCACTGCTTTTCGTGCAGATCTGGGTCAGAGATGGGGATGAACAGGAGCAGGGTAATGGCCTCCCCCAACCCTGCACCTCATTCCACACTTGGGGTGCAGGCGGCTCTGAGGGTAGAACAGGGCCCACCCTGGGTTTTGCCCAGGCCACTGCACCCACACCCTGAGTCCCAGCCCAACCATCTCTAGTTAGAACGATGCTACTGGCCTCCACATCCGCCGCCCCCGCTCAGACCATCTGCTAAGAGGCCTCAGTGAAAGCCTTAGGACTCACAGATGGGAAAGTTGTGACGCTGATCCCACCCAACAAGAAGGTGGCACCCTAAGGATCCGCACTCACCGGCCACTTGGTGATGTCATCAGGCCACTCATGAGGGTCCTCGGAAGAGGGCTCATCACACACCCTGCGTGATCACAGCACCTAGTCAGACCCACCTACTGTACAGCCCTGTCCCCATAGGTGAGTAGCCTCGGGGACTCACCTGGGGTCCTGGTGGCAGACGGAACCAAACTGCCTCTTGCGGCCATCAAGGTCTGGGGCACTGGGGTGGACAGGCCACTTAACCCAAACAGCCAGGGTGGACTGTGAGAGACATGGGTTCAGCCCCAAGTTGGCAGCGAGAGGGCTCAGGTAGCGAAGGGTCCAAATGAACTGCTCAGATCCTGAGGGTGGGAGCAGGGGCTGGCACCCTCTGACCCCACAGCTCGGCCTCCAGAGTGTCTGATCCAGAGGACGTTTTTTTCAACAGCATAATTTGTATTGTTAAAATTGCAAATCAGCACCAAATGAAGGAAGTGGTATGAACTATGACCTTAAGCAATGGATGGGACTTTTAAAAAAAATTACTTAATGACTAAGAAAGACACATGCACACAAAAGGGACACGTGCTCAGGGGGACACACCAAGATGCCACACACCAAAGTGGTCTAAGAGTGCTGCGCTGGAAGGGCAGTTTTTGGGGGGCGTACAGGAGGACTGTGCAGGGGACCTGCGCAGACCTGGCAGCGGTGCCCTACAGGCTCCCCATGAACACATGGCACAGAGAAGGCGGCAGCCCTGCACACACACCCACCGAGCACTCCTCCTCCGAGGTCTGCACGCAGCCCGAGCGGTCGTTGCGCACGCAGCAGGCCGAGTGCCTCTCGCGCTCGCGTGCCGTGCGGATGAGGCTGTGCACCTGCGGGTCCTGGCGCATGCAGGGGGAGAACTTGGCACCCAGGTGGATGAGAGCCTCCTACAGGTGAGAGAGCGGCACATGGCACCATGGCCGGCCCCGAGCCCTGCCCGGCCACCCTCGCCCCGCAGACCCGCTCTCCTCACCGAGCTAGGTCCAATCCAGAAGTTCTCCTGCTGCACGTACTTGACGTTCTCATAGACGCCGCGGTTCCGCAGCACCTGCGTAAGAGCGTGTATCAAGCGGGTGGCGGGGCCTCAGGCGCTGGCGGGGTGCTGGTCCGAGCCCACACACCCGGGGGCTCACCGAGTCCACTGTTTCGTGCTGTGAGAAGCCCACAGGCGCGATGCCATAGATGCAGACGGCCAGGATGGTGATGAGCGAGTGCACGAACGTAAGCCAGTAGGTGAAGAAGGGCCTGCGTGGGCCGAGAGTCAGCGGGCCCCGCCCCCAGGCCCCGCTCAGGCCCCGCCCACCCGCTGCTCACCTGTGGTCATCCATGTCCTCGATCTGCCGCTTGACGTAGCTGTCGATGCGCTTGCGGTACGTGCGGTTGGTGAGGCGGCCCACCATGCCCAGCCCGTACGGCCGCTTCTCTCGGGCAAAGAGCTTGCGCACTGGCACCGCAATACGCTGGCCGCGCCGCGGACCTGCCGCACTGACCACCTCCTGCCGCAGCCGGACTTTGGGCTGCTGGGCCGCCAGGCCGCCCTCCTTCTGCTTCCGCCAGCCTCGTTCCAGGGGCCTGGAAGGGGCCGCAGTCAGCCTCTGTCCGAGAGAGTCCTCCTGTGGTCCCTTCCCAGCGGGGGCCCTGGCAGACCCCTCGGGGCTTAATGGAGTCAGGGAACCAGGAGCTGCCTCTGGCATCCTCCTGCGGACTCCTCCACGCCCAGCCTTGAGTCCCCAGTCACGGTGGTCAGGCTGGCTCCCAGAGACACGGGGAGCCCTCTCCCCTGAGCCCTGTGGGCCTTGTGCCCACCCCAGCAGGTGCGCAGGGCGCGCTACTCACAGCATCAGATGGCTGCGTTCGAGCTCGCTGCGGTCCAGGGCCCCACCCGTGAGGTCGGCCTGCTCGGGGGCCTTGTCCCACTCCTTGAGCGCCGCCTCGGACGGGGACTCGAAAACCTCATCCGGGTAGGTGGACAGTTCCTCGTGGAGGACTCCTTCCTAAGCAAACAGGCGCGATCAGGGCCCGGTGTTGGCGCGAGGTGGGAGGCACCGGCACCGGGACCTTACCCTGGCGAAGAAGGACGTATCCAGCTCATCAGGGAAGTCCACCGTGTCCTCCTCCAAGAAGCTGGCCGGGGTGAAGCTGCGGCGCTGGGCCCTGCGCCCTGCGCCGTCGCGAACCGAGCGGCCCTGCGCGTGAGTGGGGGGCGTGAGTGCGGCGCGGGAGGGACTGCCCACGCCACACAGTCAGCACATGTCACCGGGTTCACCTTCACCAGCGCAGCGGCAGCCCGAAAGCTCATCTTGGCCACAGACTCTCGCTTCCGCCGCCGAGGGAACCGGTTGAAGCCGGAGCGGGAACTGGAGAAGGAGCAAAGGGAGGCTGCGCCTGGCGTGATAGGTGTGTGAGGCGCACTCAAGCCGTCGCAGGTGTCATCCGCCAGGCGGAAAGCCCGTCCGCGTGCCAAGGGGTCGATGATCTGTGCGGAGGAGAGGACACAGCGGAGTCAGACGCTAGAGCAGGCACCGGGAGGGCTCTGTGACTACCAAACCTACCGGGGCCTGAGTGGAGTGGGGTCAGTTCTTCCCATGGGCCCTAAGACTACCCCCTTGGCCTGGGACCCCACCCCAAGGCCCCTTTCCCCAAGGGTTAGGGTTAGGGGCCATCAGATGACCACTGGCTGAGTTCCTGCCATCCACAAACTGCCACCCCCAACCCCAGTGCAGGGGAGCGTGGGGTGCTGTCGGGAGTGGGGCAGGAGGCACGCCCACCTTCTGCATGCCCAGCTGGGACGGCCCGACATACAGTGGGGGAGGCGTCTCGGTGCTGGTCATGGAGACATTGTCCTGGCTGGGCAGGTCCAGCTCCCGGATGACCTGTGGTTTCAGCTTCCCATAGCGCTGGCTGCAGTGTCGGATGCTCTTCCGCTGCCATTTCTGTGTGCTGTCACTGTCCTTGCTCACGCCGAACCAGTCGGCAGTGCCCCTGCCACGGGAGCACAATGCCACCAGGGCCCCTCCTCAGCCCCCAAGCCCTCCTCCTGGGCACAGGTCCAGCAGGCAAGGTCTGATTAAACAGACGGAAGAACAGCCCGGCCTTGGTTACCCTGCCAAGTCAAAGCCCACTCAGAATTCCCACTTGAAACACAACCACCTTGCTCAGGTGAGCATGTCACCCAAGAGCCCACCCAGGTAGCCACTATGGCCAAGGGGACCCCCAACATAGTGGCTGCTGCAGGCAGCCCACAGCATTGGGGCATGCAGACTGAGACGTGGCCAGCAGCTGCCCTTAGGAGCTTCGGGGCTCAGCTGCCCTGCTGGAAAGACCCTCTCTGAGGCTGCACACCATGCACACGTCGGCACACACATGCGCTGTGAGTACCTGAGCAGGGACCGGGAGAGAGACCGGCGCTGCGGGAGGGCCCTGCGGGCACCCCGGGGGCCCCACACAGGTAGCGTGTGGACATGCTCAAAGCGAACCTGTCGGTTGCTGGGTGGGCCGGCAGTGGGGATGGGGGAGACAGAACAAGAGAAAGGCTGAGGGGAGCCGTGGGGTGTAGTGGGTGCTGGAGGCACAAGAGAGCAAGGATGACGTGTGCCGGGGGCCTGCCCCAGCTGCAGCTTCCCAGAAGTGGTACCTGCGGATGGTCTGTGTGATAGAAGCCTGACGCTGCAGCACAGGCCTCCGGGGCTCCGGGTGGGGCGAGGGCACTCGGGCCGTCTCGGCAGGCATGCTGACACTCCGGAGGAAAACCTGGCGTCTCAGGGGCTGGGAAAGGGGCTGGAGTGAGAGAGCCAGTGAGGGCAGTCCCCAGAGCCCCTGCTGGCCCAGGCTTACCTGCAGAAAGCTGGCCTCCTCCGTGGCCGGGGCCGCTGCAGCTGGGATGTCGAGCTTCAGCCAGGGCGGTTTCTTACGCTGTAGGCTGCTGGTGCTGTCCCTGCAGGCCTCAGTCATGGTGCACGGGAGCTGGGGGCACAAGCAGGGCTCAGTCATGACCATGAGGCTGACTGCCCTGTTGATGTGGACCCCCACACACGCCACACACACCATGTGGTCCAGGGTGACCAAATTTGCGCACAGCACATCAGCCGAGGACTAAAGGGATGTAGACAGGAGCCCCCCCCCCCACCATGCTTCCTTTCCAGACCTGCAGAACCCGCTGAAGGGTGGGCTGGGGTGACCCTGGCAGGTGAGGCCTCCTAGACTTGGAGAGGGGTAGCAGGTGTGGCAGCAGCCTTGCAGAGCCTGAAGCTGCCACCAGGTGGCGCCACATGCCCGGCAGCAGCATGCAAGAGGGCTTAGGGCCACCCATTTAGTCCTCACAGGCCTGGGCACCTAGCCCCAGCCAGACCCTATGACCCAGCCAAATTTCCTGTGCTCAGTGCCCAGGTGTCCTGCTGCTCAGCCGCAGAGGTGACAACTGTGTGCCTGGAGGGGTGGCGCTCTCTCATTCAGAACCCCCCTATGGGGTAGTACTAAGTGCTGGACAGGACAGAGACCGCCTTAGCAATTTAGGGGCCTCCATTGTGCCTGAGGCTGGGGGACAGGGTCATCCATAACCTCCCCTCTCATTACCACATGGCTCAGCCTAAAAAGTGACTAATGTTCCCCCCAAAAAAACTGCTGTCAGCTATAAAGGGGGAGAGTTAGTAGACCAGCGGGGTAGCCACCCCTAAGAGCCTCCACACCCAGGAACAAAGAGGACCTCCTGCTACTGGGGACACACACACACACACACACACACACACACACACACACACGGCTTTCTGTCGCAAGATTGATCCCTGCTGCTCCCCTCTATCCTCAGGGTGCACACCCTGATTCTAGAAGCTGCAGGAGGGGCAGGCAGATTCTGTGCAGAGGGGGGACTCGGCCACAGAGGGCAGGCGTCCAGTGCAGGCCCGAGGCTGAACCCATACTATGCCCCTCTCGCCTGAACCCTCCCTTCCCTGGATGCCCACTCTCTGTGATGGGGCGGTGGCCCCCTACGCCCAGCACCCCATCTGGATCTCATGTGGGTGGGGTTCGTGAGAGGGTCCACAGGCAGGCGGGGGCAGGCCCAGGGCAGACAAAGGGCTGGGCTGGGAGGGTGTGGAGCAGACAGTGGGTCAGTGTTTGCCACCCCTGCCGCAGCCCCACAGTGGGCTCTTGTTCTGAGCAGCCCCTCATGGGGAATTCCAACCGCATCTCCACAGCACCAGGGTCACACTGCCTAGCCACCCCCTGTCCAGCCCAGCCCCAGGCCTGGCAGCCACCAGTGGAGTTACACAGGGAATCTCACAGGAATAAAATTCAGGCCGGCCACAGGTCAGGTGACAGGAAGCAGTGCAGGGAGGACATGCTGAGGTGTCCAAGACTCAAGAGAAGTGACCACCAGCTGGAGTTGGCTCAGGAGTGAGGGAGAGGAGATGGCCAAGTGACAGGTGTGGGCAGGGAAGTGAGGTTATGGGGGGCCTGGAAAAAGGACCCTCATCTTCTCAAGCAGCGGGAGCCACTCGGGCCGGCCCCCCACACCCTCAGGACAATTCCAGCAGGATGGCTGGCTGGGGCATGGACAGCCGGGCCCCAAGCCTCACCCCCCTAGGCCCCACCCAGGGGGCTGTCCACCATGCCACCGAGGTCAGCTGGGGCACAGGCCCCACCCTGGGACACCTGCCCAGTCATGTCCTCAGCTCACCGGGCTAGCTCACCAAGAGGGCTAGCTCCCCAGGACTCCTTGTTTGCACCCCAGTCTCTGATCGTGACTTCTGCCTGATGCCCAATCTGACCCCCAGCTCAGGATCTCCCTTGGTGTGAGGGCCACCAGCTGGGCAGCAGCCTGGAGTCCACTTCCTCACACGCTGCTGGGCAGCCGAGGAAATGCGCCTGGCTCCTTGGTGCCTCTGTGCCCTCATCTGTGAGGGCACTCACATTAATGCCAGGCCTCTGCGACACAGACAGCCTTCTACTGACCCAGGGTCCCCAAAATACAGTCACTGCCAGCTTCCCAGGAGGCAATGGGGTTTTGAGTAGAGGCCTGGCCACCAGCCGGCAGAGGAGCCACAAGCATGGAGCAATGACTGCCCTGGGGTGGGGAGGCAGGGTCTGTCCACTGTCCAGCCCACACATATGGCCAGACAGAAGTCCCTGACCCCACAGCCTCCCCCAGGGGCTAGGACTCTGCCCTCAGAGATGGGCACTTTGGGCTCCTAATCAGAGGTCTGGCTGGAGCTAGGAGAGGCTGCACCCCAATACAATGCCCCAGAAGGACCCTGCTGGCCCCCATAAATACTCCTTGTGGGTGGCCCGAGGAGGACAACACCCCCACACCTGCTTTGACTCTGACTCTGCCTGACCCCAGTGAACCTTCCCAGACCCTGAGAGGGAGGAGCCAGGCTTTCCCAGAACCTTGACTGGGTTAAAAACCTCTCCCCTGGCCAGTCCAGGAACTGAGGGTAAAAGGGGACAGAGGCTCTAGGCCCTGCAGAGCCTGGCCAAAGCCCTAGGGAAAGGGGAGGCGGGCTCTGGACTGTGGGAACAGGCGCCCTACCCCCATGCTGGCCACTTCCCGCCAGGCATCTCCACTGGCGGAAGAGGAAGCTGCCCCCAAACACCCCCAGCCCATAAAGCAGGTCTGTCTCCCCCAGAAATCCAGGAACTCCAGTCTGGGCTGAGAGTCAGCCTGTCACTGATACCCGGTGGGGACAGTGGCGAACTGGAGCCAGTGGGAGGGGGCCTCACATCCCAGGGACAGAGCTGAGGAACTCCAAAGAGCCCCTGGGGCTGGGAAGATCCGGGAGCCCAAGGTGGTTCTTGGGAGGGAAGGAGGGAGTGGAATAGGGGCCCCAGCTCAGTCTTAGGTGGGTGGCCTGTCTGGGCAGAGGGTGGGCTGGACAGGCAGCAAAGGGGGGCTGCAAGGGGCCTTCAGTCTGGGGCCAGCAATCCCTGCACCCCTTACCCCATCTCAGAGGACCCAGGCAGGTGAAAGTCTTAGTCTAGGGAACCCCTCAGCCAGTGCTGGACACCCACCCTCCAGCTGCCTCCCATGTATGGGTTGGGGGCCAGGGGGCTGAGGGTAGTTCAAAGGGTGGGGAGACCCAGGAAGGGACTGCCCAGCAACCCATCCAGCGGGGCCAAACCTGAAAAGCCAGTTTCATCCTCGAATGTTGTCTTCACCAGGAAGTCTCATGGTGGGGTGGGGGTGGGGGCGATGCCAGCTTGGAGCCCCGGACCTCCAGACCCAAGCCCCACCCACCCTGACAGACACACAGACTCACAGTGGAACAACCATGCAGGCTGAGGATGCCTGGGTGGGAGGCCTCACAGACAGGCCCAGCTGGACAAACAGCCAGCTTCCCGACCCCCTGCCCAAAGCGCTGGGGTCCAGCTGTCACCCCACTTCGGAACAGGCCCTTCTGCCCAAAGCACTGGGCAGTGGCCGCAGGCTGCGGCGCGGCCTGCCGCTCGGGTCCGGGCGGGGGCTTTGGGACGCGGTTCCTGGCTCCTGGTTCGCGGCTGACAGGCGGGGGCAGTGGCTGTAACGGAAGACGCGTCCGTACCCCCGCCCGGGTGGCCACGGCTCCGACTAGGGCACGATTCCCATCTTGGGTCGATCCCGGAAAGTTCCGCCCTCGGAGCCCGAGTGAGTTCCAGGCCGAGACGCCGCCCGCTGCGGCCGGAAGGGGAACGTGGGGTGCCCGGACACGCCTGGCACCCCTGGACTCCGGGACCCTCAGCTGTCGGCGGGGGCTGGGGCCGGGCTGGCCGCGCGCTCAGGCCGCCGGGACGCGCTAATCCGGCCAAAGGCTATTTTTGCGGCGCGCGG